AAAAAAAAAAAAAAAATCTGTGTTCTACCAGTCTTATGACATTGTCCCATCATGAGTCAGTGCATGTGAACGTGCTTTAGAAATTTGACGTGTTATGGTTAATGATATTAACATTACATTACAGGGTCCCAGCCTTTTGAAGGCAAATTACATCATTACATGCACGCAAACACTGTCACCTGTTACCATCTCACTTTACCTTGGAATATTTATCAAAACTATGAAACCAACATTGCTACTTTGCTATTAACTAAACTCCAGACCTTATTTCATCAGTTTTTCCACTAATGTTCTTTTCATGTTTCAAGACGCCATCTAGTATAACATATTACCTTTAATCAATGGATAACTGCGATGTTTGGTGTAGTTCATCAGTCTTTCCTTATTTTTTGTGACCCTGAGAGCTTTGGGAAGTAAGGGTCAGTCCGGTATTTCATAAAGTGCCTATCACTTTGAGTTTTTCTGATGCTTTCTCATGATTAGACTGTAGTTATGGGTCCTAAAAAAAAAAAAAAACTCAAAGGAAGAATGCCTCACTAGTCACATCATATCAAGTTGACCATGCTACCAGCATGATCTCACTGAGGATATCGGCACTCTCTACGGTTTCTCTGCTAACCAATTATTTGCCCTATCCACACTTTGTTCTTTGAAAATGAGTTACTAAGTTCAGCCCAGCACTCATGAATTTAGGATTTTAAAAGGAGTGAAATAAGCATTTACTGTGACCTGTAAATATCCCAAACTCCAAATTCACTCAGGAATAATCTCTGACAAATTTCCTCCTACATAGAATTTAAGAAAGTCCTCTATTTCCTAAAATGCTCAATGATCTTCTCTGGCTACATATTTTGAACCCACTTTCAACTAATCTGTACGTTATAAACCTCCTCATTCAGCAAATCTTATTAGTATTTTTTATTTTTGAAATGCCCCCTTCTTCATCAATCCCACTGCCACCTCTCTGTAGTCAAAACTTCCCACACTAGACTATATGGTTCATCTTTCCATTCAACAAACCTTGTAGAAAATAGGAAACAGGTTGTAGGCCCCTGGTGAATAGAGTCAGTCCCTATTCTGTCAAAACTCACAGTCTAATGGAGACACACAGACAAATGAATATGTGTTCATTGGGGAAATGCAACAGCTTAGATAAGTGCCAAATCCTTTAGTATCCCTGAAACAGATCTAGAGAGAAGGCTTCATTCAAGTGATGATGAGGGTCTTTTGTGGCATTTTACAGGGGACTTTGTGGCATTATTTTATATGTCGCCTTCTGCACACAGCAGCCCCAGTTACTGGAGTCCTCTGTCTCGTGGCAATCCCTTTGGGCTAAGAACTGGAAAGTCAGTGTGGAAGGAATTGCTTGGATATCCATTTCCCCAAGCCTTGGTGTCCTTTCTGTGTCTGTGCAGGTTAAAGGATGATTATGCGTGAACAAAAACAGAAGGTACATACTGACAGGAAACAAAAGCACGTTAAACCATGGAGATTTCCTCTTACATAAACCTGCCATTTGTTAAGCAGTTGCTCTCTGCTTTGAAGGGAAGCTGGCATAAACTTGATACAAACATTCTCCAACTGTGCTGGGAGGAATAAGTAAAGGAAACGCCTTTCTAAAAAAAGTATAGAAAGAAATAAAAGATCTACCCGGGGCCTTATTCTACCATAGATGCTACCATTGTAGAAAATATTACTGAGCCTATCTATCTCTAACTGTAGTTTGGAGGAGGAGGAAAGTGACTTTTTAGTCTGAGAAAACACAGTTAAATGTGCGTATAAGTTTCTGAATTAAAAATGAAATACGTTTTCTCCCATATGTCTTAAGTATTAGAAAACTGAAATTATATTCTCTGGAGGGGCACAGACCAGTTTTCAAGACTGGTTTTGATTATAAGAATGATTATCTCCACTCAAGGTTTGTGCAATTACAAAGAGCTCTGAGCTTGGACTTGGAAGATTGTACTTCAAGTCTCCATTATTTTATCAGGGAAATCACTTACCTACTTTGAGCTTCCAGTCTCCCTTCTATCAAATAAGAAAAAGGAAAGTC